CATAACTGTAGAGGATGAGTTGGGTCATATTATAGTCATCTGTCAAACAAACAGCCCCGCGGTCGTCACCTATGGCGAATCGGTATTAACTGCTGGCATCCGTAAGTTGTGTGGGCGAAACTCACCACCACTTTGCTGATGATGCACCCCTGACGAGAGCCAGGAGATCGAAATACGCTGCCTGGCGCTTTTACAGACTAGCCTAATACTGCTGACTGAGAGTGAGCATGTTGAATTGGCCGAATTATTTAAATTCATTTGCTTTACACAGTTTCGTTCTTCGGCTGCATATTCCGTCCGTTTGCGTACTTGTTTATTTCAAATGCCGTGTTGGTTATTTGACATCTAGGGTGTGGATGGGCTTGATATCCGTGCTGAAAATGTGCCTACTTCTTTAACACCCACAAATTCGATTGATGGCTCCAGGAGAAGTCTAACGGGTTTCTGGGAGTTTGGCTAACGTGCTCCTCGTGGCCGTGCTGGGCTCAAGACTGGTTCTATCCTGTGTGGAGCGGTCCACAACTCAGCCTCCACCTTGTGTACTCATTATGTACAAATAAAATAGAACTGCTGATGATAAGCACGTTGGGCTGGTTCCGTTGATAACATGCAGTTTCAATTCACATACATCTCGGTATTATCCCTTTGGCTTTACACTGGATTTATGGTGTTTGGATAGAGCTGTGTTTGATACAGCGCAGGCCACCTATTTCCCGCCTGTTGGTGCAGGCGTCCTGGGACTGTTCTCTGGAGGCCGCGGTGACTGGTAAATCCAGGCATCAAGGACACAAACAGGTGCATTTATTGCACGCACATGATAGGTTAATATATTAATAAAAGTACTCTTGTCGCCGGGGAATGTTGAATAGGAGGCGGTGCGTAGCGTCTCTTGGACAGGGAAACAATATAGCCAAAAATCCAACACGGTGCCCTTTTGCATTATGAAGTTTTTGTCGGAATAGTAACGGCGCAATTTGACAAAGGCCTGAAAATTCTCAAAGGAATGAAGGATCTTGCAAGTAGCATTTTTGGAACTCAATGTGATCATAATGGCTTAATAGGCAGCCTTTATAGGTCGTCACAATGGGGCAGTTCACGGTTTAAATGCCATCAGAATATGCAATCAGGATACTTGTGCAACAGCTGCGTTTTGGCAGGGTTATGTGCGAAAGACACTGGCATGATCGATGCATTTGATAAATTTGTGACTCGGAAGATCAAGTGGGGTTAATGAGACGGAGCTTGATAATTTCTAAGATATTGGTAAATAACTAACTGTGTTCCCAGGCGTCAAGTTGCAAGTACTCAGCTGGAGTTCACCAATGAATAATGGATCACTTCCATGGACAGTTAAATATTATTAGAAAAATTGAATACTACTCCGGGAATACATTTTAATAATATGTGTAAGCTTAAAGCACGAGTTAGGTGAATTGTGTCCAAAATGCAGAAATAGCACCCATTAGGAATCAGTAATCTCTGTCCTACCGCATCACTTGCATTGCTAGCTGAGATAATTGTTCCAAACTGCCAGAGTCTGGGGAGAAACATTATTGAGAATGAACTAGCTCCAGCACTACAGTCATTCTTGTCAATCTGTATAATAATGTCACGGTGCTCACTTTCAATACATGCATTTAAGATAAGAATTGTTCCATCGCCACAGTTTTGTGTAGTGTTGTCTTTGATAATCAACATACAGACAATGCCACTGTGAGCTTTGTGATTAACACCCTACTGGACTGGTGTATAGTGCTAACCGATTTGAGAATGACCACACACCTTTATTTTATTTGTGAACAATCCTTACTGTTATGTCGTTGAAGTAATCTAGTTAATTCCACCGATAGTAAACGCAATATTTTAACCGTTGTCCATGATGGTGATGGAAAAGGAATGATGAGCATTCAGATCACGTCGATTCTTTTGTCATTGTCAGCCACTTCGGTACACAGAGAAGGTACTGCAGTCATGGAAAGCTCCATAACATAAACAACCGTAAATATCCTCGCAGTTACGCTAAATGATGTTAAAACCTACACCTGGTACCTCCTGGTGAAACGTGCTTTTCCACTGTATGTGCAATGCGTAGTCGAACAAGACTTCGGATCCATTCACATGTGATGCCTAAGATCACCAATGCCTATCAAAACACTTCAGCCGGTGCATAGTGAAGTTCAACCACAAATATGGTCCACGCTCTGTGATTGGTACAACGATTGACCTCAACGACAGAAGTCGCAGCGATTTTGGAATCCACAGACCTGCTTCTCTGAAACGGAAATTTAACCTACCATGGGTAGTTTCTGTTCTTCCCTCAGAATTTAGCTGGCGCAGTTAGTGAATTACAGCAGTCAGCCTTTAAAATAACTTGATGGAAAAATATTATTTCTGCCTAAGTTTTAAACTAAACGGGTTACTGGGATTTCATAATGCAAGGATCTAGTAAGCAGAACTTTGTAACGGACAGGAAAGAAAGCGCTTGTCTATAGCAAACACTACTCGATCCGGGTTTGTTTCAATTTTGTCATTTAGAAGTCCTGACAGAAAACCGATCAGTTTTATACCGTGCCGTACAGCCTAGATGATTGCCTGTGTTAGCTTGAGGCGCAAAGTACTCTACCCATGGTAACTGTTTTGTCGTCCATAGGGACAATTTTTGTACAAGTGTTGCGGGACACACAGCACTGCTGCAAAAAATTAGCGCTTTTAGGAACCTAGGTATTTTCCTGATGTGTGGAACTTACAAAAAATGGAGCGATTTTGTGACGCATTTAAACAGTTGCACAAACGGATATTCCGCAGTTTGCTCCTAGTGACGAAATACCAGTTCCTCTGTTTTGCTTCCTTTTCCAGTGAACCAGGCGTCGAGAGAATTTGCGATAATTTCACATGTAACAAGAAGGACATGTCATATAAATTCAGCTTATCACTAATGACTAAATCATTGAAACATCTCAACTAACCTAACGGCTGAGCAAAAGGAACCAACTAGATGAAATGTGAGCAACCGAAATGCAGTAAATCGAAGTATAAAATAAACTAATACTTTGACAAAGACTGAGCCTCTTCTATTGGTGTCTGTTATGCTACTTAACTTTGACTCTTGAGTATTTCGTAGGACAGAATGCGTTTGGCTTGCAAACAAGAAAACGAAGTTCGTAGTACAAAGTTTTGCTTTTCAGAAAAGCAGACGTTTGTTGTCCTTGGTCAGATGGAACCCCTTCCAAAGATAATAAAAGCAGTTCTCAAAGCTCAGCAGGTCATTTGATGAAATAAAATAAATCATTCATCTGTTGTCTTTCTGCATTTTTCTTTCGAACTATATAGATTTTTATTACTCACGAGTAGCAGGATTTTAGTTGTAATTCGGATAAGGCTTTCATCCCAATAGTTCACAAGTTACATAGCGGAGCCTAGTCCGGAAAAGCGCCAGACGCGTTTCGCCTTATTGGGGCTCGTCAGTGGCGCGCATTCCCTCGGTCCTCTAAGGAGGATCGAACCCATGACCGCAAGAGGCAGATGCCAACTAGCCAGCAGCTTAAGCCACTGAGCAATGGGGGACGTTGGCTAGGCTAAATAATTTGCAAACTAACTGGGATATAGCACCACCTATCTTCCACTGTCTCTGACAATGGTTAGCCTGCGAGGTGATGACGTCCTCTCGCTAGACGCTATATCCATAGCATTTGAAACTAGGAGAGGCTATTTGTAATTTATATTACTCACGAGTAGCAGGATTTTAGTTGTATTTCTGATAAGGCTTTCATCCCAATAGTTCACAAGTTACATAGCAGAGCCTAGTCCGGAAAAGCGCCAGACGCGTTTCGCCCTATTGGGGCTCGTCAGTGGCGCGCATTCCCTCGGTCCTCTAAGGAGGATCGAACCCATGACCGCTAGAGGCAGATGCCAACTAGCCAGCAGCTTAAGCCACTGAGCCATGGGGGACGTTGGCTGGGCTACATAATTTGCAAACTAACTGGGATATAGCACCACCTATCTTCCACTGTCACTGACAGTGGTTAGCCTGCGAGGTGATGACGTCCTCTCGCTAGACGCTATATCCATAGCATTTGAAACTAGGAGAGGCTATTTGTAATTTATATTACTCACGAGTAGCAGGGTTTTAGTTGTATTTCGGATAAGGCTTTCATCCCAATAGTTCACAAGTTACATAGCGCTTTTCCGGACTAGGCTCCGCTATGTAACTTGTGAACTATTGGGATGAAAGCCTTATCCGAAATATATAGATTTTTCATTGGCACTAAACTGGAAGTCCCTTCTGAGAAAACGTAAATTTTATTCTAAAGGTGAAAGTATTATTTACTATACCCGTACACATTCTGTTCAGCTTGCAACATTCATAATGGAAAGCTTCTCCCCATCGTACTTTTCGTCTCGGAAATTGTGACCTTAAAAATTGTAGTGAAAATCGGTTTCACCGAGTTGCAGTTTGATATTCCGACCTCACACACTCACAGTCAAATACCAAAATAGTTTCTCAGTAAAATGGCGTTATTACTAAGGCCCACGTTTTTAGTCTATAGCACTGGTCTGCACATAGAAATGTGCGGGTCTTGGAACACTCCCACAAATAATTGTGACCTCTGTGCCTGACATCCATACAGGCATCATAAAGACTACCCAACAATTGTCGTAGTCCGTCCACTCAGAGTTTAGAAATTAGTATTAGCCTGATAACCTGCCCTTATGTATGACTGTGGGGTACCAATTTTTGCTGGTGGTAAGCTACTCAGGGTTTAATCTACCGGCAGCTGCACATGACACTGAAGGCAGCAACCACGCGCATAGAGCATCATAAGCTCTTCTCTCAAGAGTGTGAGGTTTATTCGGCCAATGGGGATAGCAGGTGTATTGTAGTTCGCGCTTAATCGTTTTGATAACTGAGGTGGGAAATTGACAAATACCATTGCATATTGCTCTCGGCAAGCGAGGATCCAAAATTTAAGTAACTAGACATGCTAACATTTCTGATTTCAGGCATCCTTCGTTCACCAACTGTGTCAAACGGAGAGTGGTGAATAGATGGTACAATTTGGCTCCGTACGTAGAGAAAATATGGCGGTTCTCGGAATTCAAATATTTCATGAACAAGCACTTTACTGACATAAGGAAGGCTGGTAAGCATAGTTGGTCATTGAACTTGAGATTTTAGATGCAATTACACAAATATATTTTTGGCTGCTTCCTAACAGTATTCGGTATTTACTACTTTATTTTGGAGCCTGGTTATTTTGTCGCAATAATATTGATCGCAAACTTACCAGTACAAGTTTTCCATATTTTATTGTCCAGGAATGATAACCGGTTTTCTTTAGTCTACGGATCCACAGCTGTTTCATATAGAAGTACGTAACAAGGGTGGTTCTTCTGTGCAATGAATGTTAGGTTCCGCCAATAGAATGGATCTGATGTGCGGCTAATTTTACTGTGTATCCTATCAAGAGATTTCTTGATAGGCAACTCATTAGACGGTTTCGTCGAGCAACATATGTAATAGACCAAATTATTTCGCGCTTAGAGATCTGTCGGTATGTGCTTTTCTGTCTAAAAAAGCGAAACATCAATTTTCTTCGCCAGATTCCAGTAGTGCACATTGAGTTGGCTTGATTCCGTTGCTTCCTAACACTTTGTTTAGGCGTTCTCGGTAACAGAAAGAACAAATTACACGCGACAGTATCACGATTCAGTTCACTTGGGTTCATTTAACACATCTGTGTGTGTGAACGTATTCGTAGGATCAATTTGACACATATCGTTTACTTACCAAAAACCAGAGAGAACAGATAACTTCACAATTACTGTCCCCTACGCCAAGAATCGGAATGCATGCGAGGACCACATTCGGTGACCCGAATTCACGTGTCTTCCACACGAAAATGCTTAGCATAGAAGCGGGAAATCAGAGCTGTCAACCGTATCAGATGACGTGGAATATTTAGACCTTAATGCTTGTTCGCTCAAACAGTTGTTCCCACATTTGCAACTAAGCCGCTCGGGAATTTTCACAGGCAAACTTATGTTATTGGAGTTGGTCAGCTGGAGTTGTGTCAACCATAACAAATTGCGTTTCGAAGTAGAGAAGGAGGGCGTTTTTTGCTTGGTTAATGTTCCTAAATTGCCACTTGTCTTTCCGAGCTCTTGTAGCTTATTACTTACCAAGGCCACTGAGATTATTTTCAGTAAAAGTTAAGATTTGGATATTTGTCTTTGGAACTTTTGCTTGATTAGCTCGATTATGTTGGCCAGATAACAATTTGATTAGAGGGCAGGCGCACGACTTTTGTTTAAACAACTCACTAGCTGACTGCTAAACAACAGTACTGCGCTTATTAATGCGTAATGATCAGGTGCTCGAACGTTTGGACGTAGTGAATCACTCTCATCAAGCGGCAAAATTCATTTTCTGAACTGCTTTTACAGCCGGAACATTGTCCAGTGCATTAGAATTCAGTGTGGCCGAACTACTTAATTGCAGATTTGGGCTAATCAAAATAACAGACATTGAATTAGGAGTCCGAGTTAACAGTAAAAACGCGGCTAATGTGTCATGAATTGTATCGGATAACCATGAATTTCAGAAGTTGGGGACTGGTGCTGACCACCATACTTTTTGGCAGACAGTTTTCTGATTGATCCAAAGAGTATGTGGCTGTTGGCTTCGTTAAATTCAGTGCGCCGACATCGCAACGTCGAAGTCAAAAATAGATTTTATGAACTGTAATAGGAACATCTTAAGCGTATTGTAAGATGATGATGATGATGGCGAGGTAGTCAAGTCTTGGAGCATTACAGAACCCATCCGGGCTGGATGCGGACAGATTAATGTTAGAAGAGGAAACCCGGGTTGAATGTCGCCGACGATTTGTTCCACCTTGCATCAAAACATGTACCATGGAAACAATCATTTGGAAGCCATCGAGGTACTTTACCGAAAAGCAGGATAACTGCTAAAGGCAACACCATGCAGATGATATTAGCAAATGACATGCAGACAAAAATTAGCTTAAATCTGCAACATATGATTGCTAAATTATTGGTGTATTTTCTTCAAAGTATAAAATTACCCTGTGCTGAAATAAGAACAGTCGTCTGAGTACAAAGAGCAGGCAAGCTATATTTTTCTTCCAGTGTATCACATAGACGCCTCTAAAGTGCTTACTCCAAAATTGACGAGGTTTTACTGAGAAGTTTTCAAGGTTTAACACCACATCTGCTTTCTTACACACATGACAGCTAGACTGACAGCTTGCTGTCTCGATTCGATAGCTGACATGTGGACAATAAAGACAAAAAAAATTATGTCAGCTGTTTGACTGCCACAATGTGCTGTTAAGTACAACTTCCTTCAGTTCGTGATCGTATTCCATAAACAAATACTGTTTCGCCTCACCCTCGAGTTTTCACAAAGAATCATCCTGGACGTTGCGATTTGAAGCAATGGAGCAATGGATTATGACGCATTCCAAACCGGGTGCTTAACACGTCCAGTAAAATAGTGAGGACAAATATTACAAGCTACAAAGCAGTGTCGGTCAAAGAACGCGTGAGATACATGACTCACCAAGGGACTTGGAGTAGCACATATGCGAATATCCTTGTCTGGAGTTTCGGAGGGTTATGACACTTTCACCGTTTGTTCTGCACTTATGTCACCATGGGATGGTAATGGGCTATATCAAGCAGTGTAAATGTATCAGAGCATCCTCAAAGTGGTTTTGAATAGGCATAAAATGGGAGCATTAATTAGGTGCACCGGAAGCGCGTTCCCGGTCTGTGACACTCGAAGAGAGAAAATGCTTCGTCGACATTCCAGTTGGCTGTACTGCGTGGCCAACTTAAGCTACTGAACCCTTAGAGATGTGTTTTGACTGAGATTCAAAAAAGAGTGGTAAGTGTGGCTTGAGTTTCTTAGGATTGGATACATCATCATAATATCTCCCCGTAGACCCCGATGCATACCGCGGTATATTTTTAGAGGTATTAGTCCGAGTGTTTACATAAGTTGTGACAAGCCTCTGACGTTATTCGTCGTCCTGCGTTGTGCAGTACCGAGCGCGGTGAGGTGGTGCTTTTTCCAGGTTTGCAACGCTTGGCTAGTGTCCCATTTGCAACCTCACATAGGCGCCAATAGTTTTTTGATAAGACTGAGGCGTCAAACTTTTCCATGCTCTACGCATAAGGCTGGAGAGCTTGACTGCTTTATTTGTTGTCTTCTCAGTCTGCCTTAAACTATCAAGGTCATATTGCACGAGCACTCTGAGATCAGACCACATCAGATTGCGTGCTTAATCTATCCTACAATTTAGCTCTTTCACCTCTGCCTCATGGAGACCGGAAGTTTTGCGAATTTGCTCATTTGTTTGTACTGTAAACCTTCTTAGCGACAAGAATAGAACATGATAATTTTGCGAACATTAAAATGACATAGTGACTGATACCACATCTTAGGTAGAAGGTGTATGCATACATGAGAAATCCGCCCTTAAATTATGTGCCATCAATTTTGATGAAATTATCAAATCGGGATTCATTGAATAAACTCCATTGGATACTCAGATTTCATGATGAACTATAACAGTGTTTTCCTTGTTTATCTGTGCAACTGAGCCTTCTGCTTTCTCCATAACTATACGCGGTCATCTCCATTGTAAGCTGCATGCTTAGGTATCATGGGATCGACTGCTGTTTTGGTTGTTTTAACCTACTAACTTCTGTGTTGGTATAAGCTGTGTTCCTTTTACCACATATTGCGCCGCCTCACTTAGCATTACCTACTAAAAAGAATTTTAGGAGAACCATGTGTAAATTCATGCCGAGCAGAGTCCAGAAAAGAACTGCACGATAATACGCATTTGTTGTACATCTGACCACAAGAAATTTACACCCAATACCCAAACGAATGAATGTAGTTACTCTCAGCGGAATCCACAGCAATCATAAGGTTGGTGCCATGAATCCAATTTGGCTATGATATCTAAAATTGTTTAGAAATTGACAAAACTAGCGTTCGTGACTTTTGAGCATGGGATACATCTTCACGATTTCTCTTATGTTTACGTCACCAACGATCTCATTTCCTTCATGATTATTTTGACAGTCATTAGGATAGGATACGCAGTGGCTGCATAGTCTATAACTTATCCAAACGGCTTGTTTACAAAAGTAAACATGACGCTTGGTAAGTCGCGTAATAACGCATTCTGCATCCCATAAATCATGTCAGTGAGGCTGTATATACGCACCACTGCGGAGCAACAGTTTTGACGTTAACTGCAACATGATTATGTGACTCTGCTTACAATATGGATCAAACTGCCCCTGTTGCCTTGAAACCGGCAAATATCGAGGAATGTTTGCATAGCTTAGAACTTTGTCCCGTGTTACGATATACAAACTAAGATAATAATTACTTCGGGCAGTACGAACTTTTGGTGGGTTATTAGCACTCTTTACGGGCAGTGTGGGATGGATTTTTCCCTATTTCGGCAAATTCCAAGCCAAAAAGTAACCAGAGCAAACGACCTTAGACACTCACTCTAAACAATTAATAAACATGTGGTTTACAAGCTCCGAAACAAATCTTCAACATCGGGGAATATCCGCTAGTAGTAGGCGAAAAAACCCGTTAAAATTTTGACGTTTAAGGACACAAAATACAAATGTTCTACTAGATCCCATATGATGTTGCTCACCATATGCATTACCGCCTACGCAGTTCATCAGTCATACTGTTTCATAGTACTCTGAAAAACCTGCACCCATTTACTATCTTAGTCTGAGTCTTCTGCAGTAGTAGCAATTATGATTTCGCAATAATTCAAGAGGCATCTTAATCAAAAGCCCACTGAGGAACTCTATCTGACAGTTTTAGACTTGACCATGTCTTGTAGTTAAAAAGGTACGCCAATGTACGAGGCTACCCGCTCTAGACTAGTGGACACCAAACAAAGTTTTCACAGTGGGCTGAAAAATTACTTTTATAAAAGAATAGCACGGGTTGCACAACCGGAAAAAAGACGAACGCTGGCCAGCTAATTGACTAAATGCTCAGTGTGGGCTGCGTATCATTGTACAAAATAGCTGTAACCCATGGCCAAAACTAATGTAAAAGATGAAG